TACAGTATATTTACTAAATTAACAATATATTTATTAAAATTTATTTATTCTATTTAATTTATTTCACAACAGATGTTTGAATTAGGATTCATCTAAGTGGTCAAAAATTTTATCGTATGATTAGCATGGTGAAATAGGCATAACAGATTTATCAATCTTCTCTAGTATTATCTACAAAATGTAATTTTATATCATAAATTTTAATAGACTATTACTTTATTACACATATATCTTTAACTATATGACTGATAATTCATGCGATATACTGAAATATGTCATATGTGATAAATTTATGATGTAAGCTTACATTTTTTTTGTGAGTAATTTCTAGAACGGTTAACTAAGAGTACTCTCAAGCATCTAAAATAGGTCAGAGCTCAATTTTTAATTAGCAGAAATTAATTTATTGTTCAAGTATTGGCGATGAAAAAAAATATGGTCGGAGGCCATCTTTTTTTATCATAGAATTGTAGTAATTGCTAAATTTTAATAACCGTATTTCGCAATATGAATCTTTAATGAAATTTTCATAAATATTACTTCAATTAATCATAGTACTTGTGCACGATCTCTATATTAGCAAATCATATTGAAAGAGATGCTTGAGAGCACCCTAAATCATGTATTTATTGTGCCTAGTATCGTTGAGAGTAAAGGTGCAGGTGGAACTATTTCAGTGAACCATATGATGCATAGCAAGTTGCGGTTATGGCAAAAAACCGTATGAATCCCAAATGCTGTATGAATCCCAAATACTGTATAAATAAATTCAAAATTCTATATCAATGATTTAAAATTTGATATTTATTGTAATATGTAATAATTAATTAATCACACTATTGCTATGATGTAATAAAAATAACATTTTCTTGAAATTTAGTTTGACAAAAGTTTTTTTTACAATAAACACAAATAACCAAGTTTTAAATAATAATAGTTCATATTTGACATTATCCGAATTGAATTACAACATCGATCAATTTTTTACATATCAATCGTTCACTTCACAACAATTAAAAGAAGAAAATTTTTTATCCAACCAGCCTAAAAAAAGATGTCGAGGTGAACCTAAACAAGATCTGTTTGGAATGTCTGGATCATGTAATACTAATACACAATTGGATAAAGATAATTTTTGATCGAAGAAATAATCGATCTTTCAAATCCAGCCTTCGTTAGCAAAAATAATCATTTAATGAAAATCAGAATATGGTAATAAACCATGAGGACGTAGGCTCAAGAAATCTTAATTATATTACAGCAGATCTAGCAGTTTGAATTTTTAATGAATATAATGAATAACAAGTATGCAATAGAATGAATATGTAATAAATATATATATTGATATTGTATTTGCCATTTGCTATTATGTTTTAATAAATAAAAATTTATCATTGTGATAAGTTACATAAAAAATAAATATACAACAGTATTTTCAATAACAAGATTAAGGTTATGGCAAGTTACGGCAAGTTATGACATACAAAATTAAGGTACATATAAAAGTTATAACTTGAATAATTTTATATGCAAGTTATAGCAAGCCGTAATTTAAAGCAAAAAGTTATGACTAGTTATAACTCAGTTATGGTATGGGCCATCCCAATTTATTTTTTAATTAATAATATAGTAATAATAACATTTGTTTTCGTGTGTATTTAATTGAAAATTATAACGATCGAATTTGATAGTATATGTAGAATCTAAATCTTGCATAACAAAACATAATTTTATTGGCTAATTTTTGCAATCATCATCAATTTCTAAAAAAGGAAATTTGAAAAATGAGTTGGTAATATCGGTCTTAAAAAAGCAGCTTATTTCTATTTAAAATAATGAAACAGGTTGCACTTAGGCATTATTAAGATAACTAAATGATGCTAAACTTAGATATTAGAAATATTTATATAATTACAAATATAATTTCAAAATCTTAATAAAGTATTGAGGATAGTGATCCTAGTGTAATAGTTAGGTTGTCATCCTCCAAGTGGCAGGTCTAAAGTTCAAATCCTACCTATGATGAAATTTGGAAATTAACCTGTATTATGACAAACTGTCTCTTAATGATCAGTTAGATTTGTGTATCTGTAACTTTAAGTTACACCATCTCAAATAAGAACTTAGAGCATCTATGCCAAGTATAATGTTACATATACATAGAGGAATGTTAATAACCGATGTTATATAAAACTTCAGTACAAACCTACAATAAGACTATTAGGCACAGTAAACTAAGGAATTGAAGAGTCGAAAGCCTACTTGAAAATTCCTGAATAAAGAGGTAGCATGAACTTTTGACAGTATAGTCAGACTAATGGAAGCTCATAAAACACTTCTAAAGGGATAGATGGATAAACCAGATGTCAAGATGTATAAAAAAGCACATAACCAACTAGGCTATCAGAATTACTAGAGGAAAAGAATATATAAGTATATTATACCAGGCTATTTAGATTGAAAGTCAGAGGAGTCCTGTCAGTTCTAAGTAATGGTTAGTAAGAGATGATAGAAAAGATGTTGTGATGATAGGTACTGAAGTTCTAGTAAACTTTACAAGAGTAGAAATAGTGTAATGTAGTGGTTAAACAGATAACCCCTGTGACTACAAGTGTTAGGTAACTATAGTATGTTGTATAAAACTAGATCAGCTATATGTAGAACATAAAAGATTCAGTAAGTTTTCTGCCAAGGATAAACTAGTTCTAAAGGTAGAGTATCTAATATACTTAAAAAAATCGACATGTCATTTATTCAAATCTGTACTATAGCATGCCAATGGCATGCTATTTGTATAATATTAGATAGTGATATTAAATAATAACCTTTTCAATTGTTAATATTATATATTATTTATTATTATATACTTATTAATCATTAATGTTAAGTGAAATATTTTAATAAAAAAATTCTAATATAGTCTAATATGCAGATATATATTATATATATAAATAGTTTTTTATACAATATAAAAAAGTCTTTGAAGAATATATTTTATAAAATTATTTATTTCACTAATTTTATATTAATAGCATATTATTTTATATAAATTATATAGTATAAAAAAATTAGTATATATATAAATAATTTTATTAAATAGCATGCCAAACTGTCTTGAGGCATGTTACTGACATGCCACTATAGTATGCCATTATTGGCATGCTTGTGCCACTATGCCAGATACCCTACCTAAGGGTTTTGTAAGCATTAGATACTTTGAATAAGTGTAACTCAGAAGATGTCTCTGTAATCACAAGTCAAATTACATATGCAGAGGGTTTAAATAAGCAAAACCTGTAGTTGGCTTGCAGGTATGACACCTAGTGTAGAACCTGTATAGTAATATATAGGCAGACTACTTAAATTAGACACCAAAAATGCATGTATGGCTAGTTGTAACCTTCTATGTATTAAAACCCCTGAAGGCATCCATGTCTAAATACTTAAATAAAAAATTGATTCCCAAAGGCAAAGACTTTAACATAAAAAAAAAAAAAAAAAAATCATATTTGATAATGTTTTAAGTTAATAAAAATTTTACTAATCAACTAGTTACTAAATATAGTTGCAATTAATCAACTTTTATATTATATAACTAAATTTGTTAATTAGATAATCAAAATCAAAGAAATTATATAAGTTAATATAAACAAACAAAATTAATAATTCAATTGTTAATTGTTTTTAAATTTTTCAAATCAACTAGTTAGAAAGTTGTCAACTAGTTGATTTGTAATAAAAATATCCTAATTTGTTGGGTATTAGCGGAAATGAAGTTTCTACTTGTACACATATGGTCAGAGTATTTTTGCTAAATACCCAGTGATCTTGATATAGTGATCAAGGTATTTTTCAACTAATGATTTGGATCACTAACCTATTTATAGCACAAATGTAGTTTAGAAATCTTTAACTTTAGAACTTATAATTCTATATATAAAAAAGTTTCTACTTGAACATTATATTAATAAAAAAAATATATATAAATTTTCAAAATTTGATCCGGCCGGGTTATGAAAACCAATTAATTAAGCTTGCATAGCCTAATTTCTATTCTCAACTATAACCTAATATAAAAGAATTTTTGTTATGCCACAAACTAGCAATATGTGTAATAATAAAAGTTACACTTTTGATATAAACAAAATCACAAATTTGATACGAAATTCTGAGTAGTTACAAATAGTACGTAATATATTTTTTTTACTATACCTTCTTCCCTCCCCACATTAGAGAAATTTGATTGGCTGGTTTATAAATTTATATTTGAAATTTCGGACCCCTTACCCCTCCAGATATTACGTAATATTTGTCACTGCCTTACTGAATTTTGATTTTCTTTTTAGTAAAATATTTCAAGAACATGATTTGCATGGCATCGCTCATATATTAACAAGTAATAAATGAAATAAATTTACCGTTTCGTCATTTCACCAACTTAACTGAATCAATTATAACTGTTGTGTTACAATTATTGCATGAAAGAAATCACATGACTCTCGAAATTTTTTGGATGGCGATTTTATTCTCGTACATAAAATCAAAACAAAATACACTCAAACCCTAACGCCTAACATTAGACGAAGCTTTTTAGATTGGTGACGCTAGGGTCCATGATTTCTAACTGGAACCCCTGGAAAAATATGGACGTCCAGTGGGATTCCAGCGTCCAATCGACAACACAGAATCCAGATTTTTATATCGAAAAATTAATGCAACGGTACACTTAATCACTGGTATTTTCGTTATATACTATTCTATTCGAGGTTTAAATCATTTATATGCTAAAAAGGAATGTTACTGCAAAATCTTTGGCTGAACCGTTACAAGCATTACGTGTAACCTTATCTACTGCAAAACTCTCGTGGATAAAGGACTTTATTGGTGCTAAAGGGTTAGAAGCTCTGGAGTATGTTCTCGAAAAGTATACTCTTGGAATTAAGAAAAGGTTTGTTGTTATATATTATCGATTTATTGTTTAACCAATTACTAACATTTATTGTTTTTTTCAGCATTATTAAGAGCTCTGATCATGACGACCGGATACTGTTGGAATGTATTCGCTGTTTAAGGGTCCTGTTGAATACCGGTGTGAGTGAATTTAATTATTTGTTAACTAATATGTAATTTAGTCAATATGTTACTAACTAGATTGGTTCTGTAAAAAAAATAAATAATAATAATAGGCGGGTTTTTCCCAAGTTCTTAAATGTCCATCACTCATAAATGGAATAGTCTTCTGCCTGCACACACCGAATAACAAACTTCGCACACAAGTAGCTGATGTTTTGGCAGCGTTATGTGTTCTTTCTCCTGAAGGTCATAAATTAGCTTTAGATGCTTTTTCTGACTTTCGTTATATTCAAGAAGAAAAATTTAGGTTTCAATATTTAATTGAAACTTTAACTAGTAATGAGATGGAAGAAGATAGTGCTTCATTAGAATATAAAACTGCATGTCTAAGCTTGGTTAATGCTATTGTGAATTCGCCGGATGAGCTTGAGGAGAGAATGTTGCTTCGCGAAGAATTTCAAAGAAGGGGATTAAAAGAGCTCTTTGTGGTATGTATTAATAGAATACAAAATAGATAGCTCAATCAAAGTCGTCTTAGAGAGAGCTACACGGGTTATATGTTTTATTATAACTGTTTATTTTTAACAATTTAGTTATCATTTTATTCTATTTAAATTAGATTATTAGAAATTCGGATCCCCCGGATACATTATTGACGCAAATTAACGTATATGAAGAAGAAAGTCATGATGACAGAGAAGAATTATATCAGAGAGTGCATGATTTTGTGAAAGATGCAGAGTGTGTTTCTACTTAGGCTTCTTTTTTTTTAAAGTTATTATTATAATCTGTGAACATGCTAAGACTCATCGTTGTTTGTTAAGTAATCCGTTTTCTATACTTGTTGGACTTGTACGACAAGTTGAATTCAATGTCGAGTTATATCCCCGTGTGGTGGAAACTCTAAAGAATCTTTTAAGAATTGTTTGCAAGGATCCGGGAGAGTCTGTGTTCTTTAATATAACCATGTCGATTTATATCCATTCGCATAATTTTATAAATTTACGATTTCAAATTGCAGGAATTCCCAAAGCGAACTCTGGACATTAGTTGAACTATTTATTGAACGAATTAGATATTTGACTGACATTAAAAAAGGTATGTTCAGCATTTTTGCCAATACGTTAGCACACTTTTCATGATTTATTTAATATACTAGAATGGCAATTGTCTATGAATGAATTTCTGTCCTCTATTCAATATATTGTTGGAAAATATACTGTTGTTAGTGGTAATATGGATGACGACATGATCGACTCATTAAAGGCAAAATTAGATGAATTGGAAGCCAAGGTAAGTATTTGAGATATGCCACCATTGGAAATATAAAATACTTGACTTCAATATTAACATATTTTAGGTTAAAAATTTAACACTTGAAAAAGACGCTCTAGCGAAGAAGATAACGACCAAATCTTCTGGTACAGATTCATTATTTTTTAGCAACGATTATAAGATATTGGTCATGCAACGATTATTAAAATGAAAATTGATTTACAGGAGTAAGTAATCGGTTGTAATTCCGTTTACAATGCATACCGATCGTTACCCTGGCATAACAATTTACGATATCAATCGTCGCATGATTCAATAATGGTTATCGTGCAACTAAAATCATTGCTTCGCAGGTTGTCATTGATTTGGCGTTACAACCGAAAGTTGAAAAAATCGACTAGTTGGTTAGTCGGCAACTAGTTGATTGAAATTTTTAGGTATTAACTAATCGATTGAAAAATCATTGCAGTTCGCAAAATTTGGTGAAATTTACAAAATATTAAAAAAAGAAAACACAAGTTGATAGATTACTCCGATACGCTAATTTCATGTTCAAATTTTGGAGTTGTTTTAAGTTAGAAATCACTTAATCTTTCTTTTTTTTTTATGATTTGCCAATTTCACAAAATTTTACAAACCAATAATTAATTGGTTGCAAATCGATTGGTCGATTAGTTATAACATATCAATTAGTCATTAATCAACTAGTCTTCAATTGAAAAAAGATAATTAATCAACTAATCGATTGAAAAACTTTTGAAGATATGTAACACTTTGTTGGTTAACTGGCTTATTATTATTAAGCCGTGGTAATCATTGTCATTATTTAAATAGTTAATCGACCAAAAATTTACTGATCAATTATTTGGTATGGACTATTTAAATATACAATATAAAACATGAGTGCCGTCAATGGAAAACCTGTTATTGGGATTTCAATTATATTTTATACCGGACACAATTTACATAATTTATTAGGAATTGTGTCTGGTACAAAGTATAATTGAAAGCCTGATGACAGGTTTTCCCTTGACGGCACTCATAATTTGTATATACAATTTACCAATATTAAACACCGGACAAGACCGGTCATTTGGTCTGGTCAAGATTTAATCGTTGACCGACTCATAAATCCTGATAAACTATCATGCTTGCACGATAATTACCGAAATAACGACCCGGGTGTATATTAAAATTTTTGTCCGAATTAAGCTTAATTCGGGACAAAATTTTAACCTACATCCCGGGCGTTATTTCAAGATAATGCGTTACTTGTTATTGATTATGTCGATAAATGATTATTTACTAGGATGCTGAGATATAATGGCGGCCAAAGGCCACCGTTATGACGTAGCATGGCTGTGAATAAATCAGCGATTGTCATCAACAAATTGACCCAATAACTTGGTTATTGTATAAGAATCTGGCCATTTTTATGCATCTTGTTGGGTCGTTCCTAAACGCGATACAAAAATTTCTCTCATCTCTAAAAGCTGAGCAAATTTTGTATATCACGTATTAGAGGTAACCCAAGATCATGCATGAAAATGGCTAGGTGTTCACATAAGAAGTATACATAAGATTATTTAAATTATAAATCTGGATATATTTTATTGTTCTAATTACTTTCACAATCAAAATTACTGGCTATCTAAAAGATAAGCCACATAATGCAACACCGTCTATAAAATCACCTACACTTTTATCAAACAAGAAAGATAAAGCTCGGCGGCCGCCACCACCTCCGCCTCCTAATAAGACTGAGAACGTTCAGCAGCCATCATTACCTGTTATTCGAAGTAATACTTCCTCTCCACCACTTAAAGGTAATAATATGATTTACTGCATTGTTTTTCACTGCCACAAATTCATCAAGAAAATTCTGTCATCACTTTTAGACACTGAAGGCACCGTTCAACAAGTCTCTTTTATTCAAAAAGTTGTTGAAGCCACTACGACATTCATCGCTCCTTTCGATATGACAGGTACTATTAAGCTAGCTTATTATATACTAAATAATGTTGGAGATGTTGATTAGCGCAAATGATTGAACATTGTCATCTATAGTAAATAAGGTGAATGAAAGTGCACCATCACTATCCACTTTTTCGAAGGAAGCTAAAATTGATGATTCATCTCTACCGGGCAGTACTCTATCACAATCACCGCCATCCTCTCAACCTTCAAATAGTAAAATAGCATCACCGACATCCATAAATTCGGGTTGTAATATACCGCCACCTCCCCCGAATGTTGGTGGTAAAATGCTTCTTCCTCCTACAAATATAGGTGGTAAAATACCACCGCCGCCACCTCCAAACGTTGGTGGTAAAATACCATCACCACCACCTCCTCCAAACGTTGGTGGTAAAATACCACCACCACCACCTCCTCCTCCTCCTCCTCCAAATGTTGGTGGTAAAATACCACTTCCTCCTCCTCCAAATGTTGGTGGTAAAATACCTCCACCACCACCTCCTCCTCCTCCAAATGTTGGTGGTAAAATACCACCACCTCCTCCTCCTCCAAATTTTGGTGGTAAAATACCGCCACCACCACCGCTGCCTTCAAACGGAAAAATTCCATTACCACCACCTCCTCCTACAAGTGCGATTGGAAACATTCCATCGCCTCCCTTATTGGGTTCATCACCCATAATTCATAGTCCGCTTCCTGTACGATTACCACCCATCTCTACAACTAACATTCAATTAAAACCGTTGTTTTGGGATAAAATTCCGCCAAATAAAAGTTCACAAACTGTTTGGGAAGAAATTCCAGATGGGGATGTTCCACTAGATACTGAAGAACTTGAATTTTTATTTTCCAAAAACCCAAATGGTATCAAATCTCCAGTATCACCACCACCAAAAAAGTCCGTATTTACAACATTGCTTGATATGAACCGTGCAAATAATATAGCAATAATGTTGGCGCGTATTAAACTTTCATACACTGAAATTAAAAACTCAATATTAGAATTAAATGATGAAACATTGACAGTTGAAAATTTGAAAAACTTAAAAAGTTACGCGCCAACAACGGATGAAATAAATTTAGTAAGAGAATATACAGGGGACATTGGAATGTTGGGTAATGCTGAGAAATATTTTAGAGAGGTTATGGAAATACCAAGACTATCAGAAAGGTTAGGATGCATGATATATAGGCGAAAATTTGAAATAGAGGTTTTTGAATTGAAATCAGTGGGTATTTTATGAGTCAAATAAAGACATTAATAGGAAACGACATAAATATTTAACAAAGCGACTTAACGAATATCTATATTGCAGCAAGTTGAAGATTTACATCAGGCTTACTTAGAATTAAAATCATCAATGAAGTTTAAACTTTTACTAAAGGTATGTAATAATTGTTTCACTTACATCATAAATTATACGTTTATATAAATATATATTCTTTTCTACTGGCGCAATTGTGTAGACTATATTGGCAATTGGAAATTTTCTTAATGGTTCTACATTCCGAGGAAATGCGATCGGATTTAAGTTGAATTGTCTTTTGAAGGAAAGTTTATTTATTCATGTCACTGTTAGTTATGATTTTATAATTAAGATTTCAAATATTAACTATCTAATAGATAAATGAAACAAAAGCTTTAGAAAACAATCCAAAAGGATTTTCTACATTGCTCCATTATTTAGCCGCGACACTTGAAGAAAGACAGAATGATTTGATAACTTTTATGGATGAATTAAAACATTTGGAAGGGGCATCGAAGGTTTCATATGTTGCAGTTATGGGATCCGTTGTATCTTTGAGTAGTGGAGCTGACCAAATCAAAGAAGAAATTAGAGTCTTGAAGAAGTTAAGATTGACACCGAATAATGATCGTTTTTGTGAAATTATGGAGGTTTGTTCGTATTATTATTCATTTTGGGTCAGAGTCCCGAAAGTCCCCGAAACTTAATTATCATGCCGTGTGATGTCTGGATCAAATATCCAAACTATGCCATAAGTGGAGCTTGAATATTGGATCCCCGACACCACGCGGCGCGATAATTAAGTTTCGGGATTTTGACCCACAATCGTGATTATTTATATTATATTCTTGACATAAACATGGGTACTTAACCTGGATTTGTATCTTATTTATTTCGTGTAGGAGTTCTTTAAACAAATTGAACCAACTATCAAGGGCATAAAAGAATTTACGCAAATTTTAGAAGAAAAATTGAAACAATTGCTAATATACTATGGTGAAGATCCTACTATTACCAAACCTGAAGAATTTTTCGGTATGATTGTTGAATTTGGAAAATCTTTAGCTGCAAGTATTTCAAACATTACCTTATTTGTATCAGCAATGTTAGTATATTTACATAATCACTGTCTTGTATGGTTATCAGAGAGTAAGACGGGAAAATGAAGAAGAGAGGAAGAGGATAGAAAAAGAGCAAATTAATGCCCAGTCACGATTGGTAATGTTAAGTTATTTATATTGCAATTAAAGGATTCTTTTGCCCACTCACAATTTCTATGATTATGTAATAGGTGGTAAGACGACAATCTGATACATCGAGTATAGCTTCATTACTGGCAGGGAAAGACTTTGATAATACAATTCGAGATTTAAGATCTGGATTAAGAAAAAATCGAGACAGGCCCATTTCGAAAGTTTTTTCTGATTTGCAATTAGATGTAATTTATTCACACAGCCGTAACACTAGTAGTGCATATCCTTCATCGTAATAATATCTTCAGTGTAAAACGTTTAATTATTGGACTTTTTTTGCAACTTGGATTTTGAGTTATTGACAAGGAAATTAGTAAAGTAATCCTTTATTTAATTTATACGTTTTTGTATATTTTTAATATTATTATGCTTGTAATCCATTGAAAAATTTAAAATAAAAACAAGGAATAATTTAAAGAATCTGAACTTTTTAGAAATAATAGCATATATTATGTATGCTTGGGATTAAGAATTAGAATTAGAAATGTTTAAATGTAAGGCACAAAATACAAAAGAAATCGACCTTAATTCAAATAATAACGTGCGTATCTGATATTTTTTAAATATGCAGTTTTAATATAATAAAGCCTTTTATAATACAAAAACTAGCTATTGGTTTTCATGTGGCTGAGTACATTAATTTCTTAACAATCAGTGATAGGATTTGCGATAGTAAATTGAACTAAATGGATTATATCTTGATAAATGAATATTTCCATAATAGCTTTTTTGCCTTCTAATTATCGATTAGATAGTTAAAAAAATTTTTATCGCTTTATTTATAGGGAACTGATATTTCCACACCCTCGTTTTGATATTTCCAAACCCTTGTAGGTCACATATTTTTAAAACTTTGAATTCTATGGCTTAGACTTTGAATGAAAAAAGTTCATCGAATTTTAATAGGATATCTTCGATCAAAGTTATTTGCAAATTTGTCACAGCTTATACGTATTTTGATAGACATTTTAAATTTTCTAAAATCTTTATTGAAGATATCTTGACAACCATCTGATAACTTTTTTGTTTAAATTTTGTAAATCTATAGAATTCAATTAACAAAAAAGTGTATCGTTTTTATTAGATAGCTGTCAAGATACCTTTGATAAAAGTTTTAGAAAAATCTAAAACATTTACCAAATATGTAATAAATTTATGCATGATTTTGATCAAAGTATTTTGACAACATTTAATAAAGTTTGATGGATTTTTTTTATTCAAATTTTATTCAAACAAAAAAATTTATTGAATTTGATTAAGTTAGGTATTTAAATATTTTCAATTAAAGTTTCGAAAAAGATTTAAAAGATTTATTAAAATATAAATCATAAACTTATGTATAATTTTTTTTTGATATTAAGATAATCTTTTAGTTGTTTTTTTTTTTTAATGTTAAGGTGAATATTTGTGACCTAGGATTTTATTGATAGTATGTTTAGCTAATAGTTGTATGTATAACAATACAGAGTCAATTATAAAAAGAATGTACAATTAATAATTTTAGTTATTGTTTAATTTAAATAGTTTGCTTAAAGGTTTTTTACTAGTTGTCATATTTAGAATTCATTTGTAGGTCTTTTATTTAAATATTTTAGTTTTTGTATCTATTACTTACTTATATTACCAATTGTCTTGGTCAATATTGGTGCAAATATATTATGATCACAAAGTTTTTAAAGCAGTTTATTTTATAGAAAATTTTTAATTTTGTACTAAATTTGTTAGAGTTTTTTGTATCTTATATTTATAGTTAATTTAGTATTGTTTTGTCTAAATTAAGAGTAAAGTATATGTAAATTATTTGTTATATGATTTTAATTGTAAATTTTTTTTATTTTGATATTTAAAAATATTTTCACCAATTTAACTGTTTTTAAACTTTTAAGCAAAGATGTAAAGCTAGAGTTCCTATGTTTAGTTCAGGTTTAGTTTGGGTTCAGTTCAGTTCGGGTCGAACCCAAACTCGAACTGAACCTAAACAGTAAATTTTACTAATTTTGGACATGAACCTGAACTTGAACTTATAATTTCTGAACCCAAACCAGACTCAAACATTGTAATAAATTTGGTCTAGGTTCAGTTCGAAGTTTATAAACAAGTTTGAGTTTGAATATTAATATTTAAAAAAAGATTTTATAGTTTAAAATTTAGCAGACTCAATTTCTAAAAACTTTTTAGAAATTGAGTTTAATAAACTATGACTCATACTATCATATAAATAGAGCTTTAACTTATATACTTTTCTTTTATTTAGTTAATATACTGTATTGTATATTAAAAAGATTTAAGTATATTTTATAATTATAATAATAATACACTTATAACCTGTACTATTATATAAATAAAGCTTTAACTTACATACTTTTCTTTTATACTGTATTGCATATTAAAAAGATCGATAAGTATATTTTATAATTATAATAATGATAATATTGATTAGATAATTAGTATAATATTAATCACAATAATTTAAATAATTTAAAAAACAATTATTTTTAGAAAAATTTTTATAAGTAATTATTTTAAATTGGATCAGATTAAGTAAAAAAAAAAAATTGGTCAATAAATAATAAGTTTTATATCTATAAAATTAGAAGAAGTTATATCAAAAATCTTATATAATGTTTATAATAATGTCTATAATAATGATCATAATAATGACTATGACAACAATTATGATAATGATTATAGTAATAATTATAGTAATGATGCTGATAATAATTGTAATACAACTAGCAAGTAAAGTAATAAAAGTGAGGTGTGAAATTTTTTTAGAAAGGTTGTATGACAAAAGGATAAAAAACAACTAAATGTACAATATTAAAATACTAATAGAATAAGCTTTCTTGTAGAACGGAAGGCATCATTAGGCCACTATGATGCCAATTGGAAAGTGCACACTGAATTCAGTATATCATAATAAAAGAATTTAATAAAAAAAAAGAAAGACACAAAGTAGATATGATCCTGTTGAGGATATGTTTAAAAAGATTAGCTTTAGGGTTCTGAAATGCCAAGCACAATATTATTAAAACATAATGCCTAATACAAGCATTATGTTTTAATAGTATCATGCTTGGCACTTTAGAACCCTAGTTAGATCTTTATTTTATTTTATTTTATTAAATTATTATTATTAATTTTAAGTTAATCTAATTTAAAAAATATTGTATAGAATCCTAAAAACCTAACATTAGTTGATATTAATAATTTAAAGCTTTGTAATATGTTTTCTGTTTGGATTATTAATCATTAATGCCTATTTAATATAATTGAAGACTCTAAATTAATTGAAATTATAAAATATTTGAATTCTACAGCACAGTTAGTTAAAGCTAATACAATTAAAAAAGCAATAATGTTACTTTATAATTCAGGAAAAAAGAAATTAAAGGCAAGCTTACAATTGTTATTTTTTTTTTAATTAAATTTAATTTTTTATTTTTATTTTATTTTATTTTTTATTTTTTTAATTTATTTTAATTTAATCTTGGAAACCTAAAGTGCTATAATGTACAGTTATCCTTCTTTATAATCATGCTGTCTGTTTTATATAAAAAAGATGTGATATAAGTTTTTAATAATAATGCAATCATATAAAGTATTTTTAATAGAAATAAGGTTTTGTAGCTTAATGGTCTAGGCACCTCTTTCTTCACAAACAAGATTAACAGTTCAATTCCAGCTGAAGGCAAAACTTTGTAATTTACAGAAGCATATGAATGTATGTGATGCTTCGTGGCTAAGTTCATGTGATTAGAAGATTAGTATATAAGAAAGTTCCTAGAAAGAAGTTTCTCAATATGGAGAGTTGATGCTCAATGCAAAAGAAGCAATGAACATATCAGAAATGGAGAGAAGGCATACTAGCAGATAATACAGTAAATATAAAAGAAAACTATGAAAAAGAAATAGACTTACTGAAATTCAAACACTTCTGACATCAAACCGGTTCTAGTAGATATGGAATCTACTAAAATTGAATAAATCTAAGAGGTAATCTTGATATCATACTTAGTAAGTTTGCATTGAGGATAAATTTGAAGGACTATAGATACTTAGTAATATCCAATGAGGTAGTACTTAGATATAAATAGTAATTAGATAGCTCTAATCTGTTATGTCGTAATATATATTGTATATATATGCAGTAAGTATTAAAAATCAGGAAGTTTAAATAAGGGACTTACAAGTGAATCTCAGTTATAGCATCTAGTGGGTAACTCATAGGCGGAACTCTTAATTAGATAATAACTAAAGTTATATATATAACTAGTTGTACTTTCATTGATATATCTTGTATATAATATGTAATCTTATATAGCTAATAATAAAAAGATACACAGATAAGATCATTCTTAAAAAAAAAAAATAAAAAAATAAAGTTTTTTTAATAAATATATCACTAATAATTTTTTAAAAAATAGTACTAGGATGTGGTGACTTGTGAAGTGGATAAGTTGTCAACCCTCCAAATAGTAGGTTGGGAGTTCAAAACTACAGATGGTAAAAATTTGAAAAACCACCTATGTTACATTAGTGTATATGGGCATCTGTGCAATGCTAGAATTACACAGAGGAATGCAAACCGGCATTGGGTAGTGCAAACACAAGATAAGTCCTTGAAACTGATAATATGGCAGCGACTATCTATCAATCAGTTGGGATCAGTACCTGTAACATGGTTACATCAGATAACTAGCAGGTTATAGGTATCTGTAGCCATGTAAATCTGTGAACTGGGATAACTGAAGCTTACTTGGAAAGACCCAAGTAGAGAGGTAACACAGATCTTCGACAGTACTACTGTAAAGGCTAGACCTAGGAAACAGATACCAATGTGAAGAAATCGGGTGGGCAAGAACCTCAGGTGAGAGATACTACCAACCAGCCTGCCAGAAGTTTTGAACCAGAAGAAAAGGACCTTGGGAGGCAGACCTTGGGGTACCAGGAACAGGTCATAGTCCTACTGGGCTATCTGGATTGGGAGTCTGAAGTCAGAAA